CGTTAAAAAGTGGTTTCCGTGGACAGTAGGGCCGTAATCTCTCCTCGATCCGGCCGTGGGGGGCCGGGAGTATAGGACTCCGGCCAGCAACGACGAGGGAGGAAGTCTCCATGGCGGGGCGAAACCGCCGTCCGGAGGAGCCAAACCCTAATGAGAGGGGAGTTTGCGCTGCATAATAATAGTAGCAACGACACATTATTATGGCAAAGGAAAAAAGTTTGATTCCCATTCGGCCCCGGCCCCGGCCCGTGGTCAGATCGATCACACACAAAATGCATCCTGGCCCAGGCCCAGGGTGGGGGCCCGCAGCCCAGGGGCAGAACCGTCAACCGGTGCCGACCAGCCACAGCCAGCCTGCGGCCACCAAGAGCCAGAGGTAGAGAGCAGAGACATAGAGCGATAAGAAGAGAGAGCTCCTCATCCGCCTGCTCCCTCCCTATATATAATCCCCAATTTCGTCTCCTAACATATAAAGCCTCCCGATTTCGAACCTCCCCTCCCATCCCCTCACTCCTCTCCCCCCATCCGAACCCTCTTCGCACCGCGCCCCGGACCTCCCGGATCTCGCAGCATAAAAAACACCTGTATTCGGAAAAAAAATCATGTGTTTGAGAAAATGTTAGTGTGTTTTAAAAAATGCTCGTGAATTCAAAAAATGTTCATGAAATTTTAAAATATGTTGACCAAAATCAAATAGTGATTGTGGATAAAAAATTTCATCTATTCAAACAAATTCCGTGCATTTCAAGAAAATGTTCGTCAAACAAACAATTTTAAAGATTTTGAAAATTTGTTTCTAGATTTAAGAAAATGTTTATATATGCAAAAAATGTTCACATTTTCAGAAAAAACATGTTAATGAAGTCGATAACTATACACAGTTTATAAAACAATTCGTGAATTTGAAAGATGTTCACGATCTCATTAAAAATGTTTGTGAAACGAAAATTGTTCATGATTTCAGTTTATTATTAGTTTTGCACCAATAATATTATCAATACATATCAAATTATGCATGATCGCAAAAGGACTACTACCAATAAAGTAATATATTTTTATTCATTTTTATGATCTAAGAAATCATTATTAAAGCTTGACAAAACAAAGTTTAGATCCTAGCATCGTCATTGTGCATATTTATTATGTACAACTTTCCTGATCCATGTCATTCGATCCACTCAAGGGTAAAATGGTCAAACATAAGACAAAAGCTAAACTCTTTGGTATATAGGCTGTGAGTTATTTGCAGGGTAAAGAGGATTGGAGAGAGTATCAAACAACGAAAAAGAAAACTGGTGACAAAAATATTTGATCCATTAGTGACACTACAGAATTTATAGTAAACTTTTGTACTTATTTGAATAAATTGTATCATACTATAAACTTAATGGTTTAATTTCTATTACTTGACTATCATAGATAAGCACAACTATTAGATAAATTGTCATATTATTCTTAGCTATAAAATTGTAATGTGTATTAAACTATATAATGTAAAAAGTTATATTTGAATTAATTTTGGAAGTTGCATGAATTATATATAATTTTTTTGATTTTTTTGCATATGTGTGAGTGTGTGAGTGTGTGTGTGTGTGTGAGTGTGAGTGTGTGTGTG